AAGGAGCTCCCTGAGGGGCCACGAAATCTGTGAGTGGTGTGCCAAAATGGGGCGGTGGCGCCATGCGAGCTGCGCCACTTGGACCGTAGATGGAGCTCCCTATGGGGCCACGAAGCGTGTGAGGGGTATGCCAAAATGGGGCGGTGGCGCCATGCGAGCTGCGCCACTTGGACCTTAGGTGGAGCTCCCCATAGGGCCACGAAACGTGTGAGGGGTGTGCCAAAATGGGTGTGCGGGACGCATGCGGGCACACCCACTGGGACCTTCGGTGGAGCTCCGTATGGGGCCACGAAACGTGCGATGATGGCGACGAGGACAACGATGATGGTGATGACGATGAGGATGATAGGAGGGGAGAGGAGGCGGAGGAGGAGAGGAGGAGGAAGGAAACGCGGGGCACCGTCTCTTCAAAACGAGGACCCAACACCACAGGATGGTTGGGAAAAAAATTAGCCTGGCGAAGAACCCAACCATATGCAGTTGTCAGTACCGCAGCTGCGGGTTTCATCTTCAATGGAACTCCCCATAGGACTACGTAACGTGTGAGGGGTGTGCCGAGATGGGTGCCACTGGGGCATTCGGCGAAGCTCCCTATGGGGACATGAAACACGCGCGGGGCGTGCCGACATGGGTGGCGGAAACGCATGTGCACGCCGCCACTGGGGCCTCCAGTGGAGCTCCCTATGGGTCCCCGAAACATGATGCTGCTGCGGGGGAGAGGGGGGCCGGGATGGGTGGCGGAGACGCATGTAAGCGCCGCTACTGGGGCCTTCGGTGGAGCTCCCTATGGGGCCACGAAGCGCGTGAGGGGTGTACTGGGATGTGTGGCGGGGACGCATGTGAGCGCCGCCACTGGGGCCTTCGGTGCAGCTCTCTATGGGGCCACGAAACGTGTGAGGGGTGTGCCGAATTGGGTGCGGGTGGTGACGCATGCAGGCGGTGCCACTGGGGCCTTCGGTGGAGCTCCCTATGGGGCCACGAAACCTGTTGTTGTGAGGGGCGTGCTGGGATGGGTGGCGGGTACGCATGTGAGCGCGGCCGCTGGAGCCTTCGGTGGAGCTCCCTATGGGGCCACGAAACGTGTGAGGGGTGTGCCGAATTGGGTGGGTGTGGGTGACGCATGTGAGCGCCGCCACTGGGGCCTCCGGTGGATGGGGCCACGAAACCTGTCAGGGATGTGCCCAAATGGGTGTGCGGGACGCATGCGCATGTGAGCGCCGCCACTGGGGCCTTCGGTGGAGCTCCCTATGGGGCCACGAAACGTGTGAGGGGTGTGCCGAATTGGGTGTGCGGGACGCATGCGGGCGGCAGCACTGGGGCCTTCGGTGGGGCTCCCTATGGGGCCACGAAACGTGTGAGGGGTGTGCCGAATTGGGTGTGCGGGACGCATGCGGGACTGGGACCTTCGGCGGAGCTCCCTATGGGGCCACGAAACGTGTGAGGGGTGTGCCGAATTGACGCATGCGGGCGGCAGCACTGGGGCCTTCGGTGGGGCTCCCTATGGGGCCACGAAACGTGTGAGGGGTGTGCCGAATTGGGTGTGCGGGACGCATGCGGGCGGCAGCACTGGGGCCTTCGGTGGGGCTCCCTATGGGGCCACGAAACGTGTGAGGGGTGTGCCGAATTGGGTGTGCGGGACGCATGCGGGCGGCAGCACTGGGGCCTTCGGTGGGGCTCCCTATGGGGCCACGAAACGTGTGAGGGGTGTGCCGAATTGGGTGTGCGGGACGCATGCGGGCGGCAGCACTGGGGCCTTCGGTGGGGCTCCCTATGGGGCCACGAAACGTGTGAGGGGTGTGCCGAATTGGGTGTGCGGGACGCATGCGGGCGGCAGCACTGGGGCCTTCGGTGGGTGTGCCGAATTGGGTGTGCGGACGCATGCGGGCGGCAGCACTGGGGCCTTCGGTGGGCTCCCTATGGGGCCACGAAACGTGTGAGGGGTGTGCCGAATTGGGTGTGCGGGACGCATGCGGGCGGCAGCACTGGGGCCTTCGGTGGGGCTCCCTATGGGGCCACGAAACGTGTGAGGGGTGTGCCGAATGGGTGTGCGGGACGCATGCGGGCGGCAGCACTGGGGCCTTCGGTGGGGCTCCCTATGGGGCCACGAAACGTGTGAGGGGTGTGCCGAATTGGGTGTGCGGGACGCATGCGGGCGGCAGCACTGGGGCCTTCGGTGGGGCTCCCTATGGGGCCACGAAACGTGTGAGGGGTGTGCCGAATTGGGTGTGCGGGGCGCATGCGGGCGGCAGCACTGGGGCCTTCGGTGGGGCTCCCTATGGGGCCACGAAACGTGTGAGGGGTGTGCCGAATTGGGTGTGCGGGACGCATGCGGGCGGCAGCACTGGGGCCTTCGGTGGGGCTCCCTATGGGGCCACGAAACGTGTGAGGGGTGTGCCGAATTGGGTGTGCGGGACGCATGCGGGCGGCAGCACTGGGGCCTTCGGTGGGCTCCCTATGGGGCCACGAAACGTGTGAGGGGTGTGCCGAATTGGGTGTGCGGGACGCATGCGGGCGGCAGCACTGGGGCCTTCGGCGGAGCTCCCTATGGGGCTACGAAACGCTGTACTGGGCGGGTGAAACGCAAGGAAGGGGGGGAGGAGGGAGGCGGAGGAGGAGGAAGGAGGAAGGAAGGAGACGCGGGGCACCGTCTCTTCAAAACGAGGACCCAACACCACAGGATGGTTGGGAACAACATCAACATGTTTCGTCATTTTTCCTGTCAGCATGGACGTCCTGTCGTCCACGTCGAGAATCCGTGCCAGAAAATACCACACGCGCGCGTTCAGGTCAGAACCCTACCAAACACATCGTGTTTGCAACCATCCCAACATAAAAGCGTACAAACAAACAATGCCTGTTCAGCACAGAGATTCAGGAGTTCTGCCTTCGCGCAATTGCTGACATCACAAGAGCACTATACGATTCCCATGACTTCGTGAAACAAGCCAGCGATTTCATCACGCCGCGCGGTGCACTCGCGATGCTCTGTCATGCACCCAGGGCGCGGATCTTGTGCAAAAGAACCACGTGAGCGACATGCGCGCGCGTCGCCGCGAGCGCATGTCCAAATCCTTCCAGAGACGTCGCCATCATCGGCACCGTCGCTGGGCTTTCCGTCGTTGTCGCCATCATCGCGGGTCACCGCCCTCCTCATCATGTCGCCGCCGTGGTCGACGTCATCATGCCACCGCAATCGTGGCCGCAAGAATTCTGCCATACCAGCTGGCCGATCTGTGCGTGCGATGCGTTTTGCCAGCCAAGTTTCCTGGGGCCTCCTGGGGATTCCTGGACCTGCTGGGGTTTCCTGGAGGGGCTCCTGGCGTCTCCTGGGCCTTCCTGGGGCCTCCTGGGGAAGGACTCGCTGGGGCCTTCAGGGGGCTCCTGGGGCCTCCTACGGCTCCCGGGGGTGTCCTGAAACATCCTGGGGCTTCCTGGGGCCCTCTTGGAGCTTCCCGGGTCCTCTTGGGGCATCCTCGACTCGTGCTGAAATGCCCGCGCAACCTTTGAGACGAGCTGGGGAGCTCCCATCGGTAACCGCTGTCGCGGTCGCTTCAGCTGTGCCAAACCAGCTCGCCGATGTGATCTCGGCTCCCGGTTGTGCCAGCACTGTTTCCCGTCGCGCCACGAGGCCAGTTTTTAGGGCGGGCAGGGCGTTTCGCTTGAGACTTCCTCACTATTTATGATTATTAGCTTCACAGATGGAGGGCGGGTCGTTTTCAACTTGTGGCTCTCGCCTTAGCGCGGCGCACACTCGTTTTAACAATTTGCACGAGCTTCACGGATTTAGGGCTGTTCTTTTCAAAATGTGGTTACGCTTTAGCGCGGCGCACACTCGTTGTAGTAATTCGCAAGAGCTTCACGGATTGGTGGCGGTTTCTTTTCACAATGCGGTTTTCGCGTTAGCGCGGCGCACATTCGTTGCAAATGGTTGCAAGTGTTTCAAGTATTCCCGTCATCGACATGTCAAAAACGGCGTGTTGAAAGGATTCATGACTATGCGGGTGCAACTGTTCTGTTGATTCGCTGTGTCGAAGTCCCAGGAATGGTGTTCTGGCACGATTCAGGATTGTCAGGACGCAACAGTCAAGTTGATCTGAGGCGATGGGATCCCGAGAACAATGTTTTGGCATGTGTTTAGGTTTTTTCCAGAGAGGTAGTTCCTTCAATAGAAATGAACTTTTGTAGGGGCCTATAAAGAGGGAGCTTGGAGGGAGGGTTTATTCCAACAGCGTTGATGACTCTTGGGTGTCCTACTCCTCCTACTACTCCTCCTCCTCCTCCTCCTCCTGCCTTCCCCATCCCTCCTCCCCATCAGCACCTCTCCCGCCGTCCCCTCCACCCCTCCATCAACATTCTGCCCCCTCCCTCATCCCCATCCCTCGTCTTCCTCCCTGCCCCCATTTGCCAACCCTCCTCCCCCACGCGAGTGGAGAAGGAGGAGAAAGGGCCAAATGGGAAGGAGGAGGAGAAGGAGGAAGAGGATGAGGAGGAGGCGGAGGAGAAGGAGGAGGAGGAGGAGGAGAAGCATGGAAAGGAGGAGGGACGAGGAGGAGGAGGTGGAGGATGATGATGATGAGGAGGAAATGGAGGGGGACGAGTAGGAGGAGGAGGAGGAGTAGGAGGAGGAGGAGGAGGGATAAAAAGTAGGACAAGGAGGAGGAGGAGGAGGAGGCGGAGGATGTGGAGGGACGAGGAGGAGGAGAAGGAGGAGGAGGAGGAGGAGGAGGGGGACGAGGAGGAGGAGGAGGAGGAGGGGGAGGAGGAGGAGGAGGAGGAGGAGGGAAAGGAGGAGAAGGATGAGGAGGAGGAGGAGGAGGAGGAGGAGGGAAAGGAGGAGGGACGAGGAGGAGGACGAGGAGGAGGACCGCTTGCGGCCACGATTCGCGGCGATCCCCTGCATTGCGCCGTGCCGCGCTTTCATCTTACCTTGGAACGTGATCCCTGCTAGATCGGGCCCATCAGGAGGACCAGGAACACTCGGGCAGTCCGTAGGCGGTGGCTTGTGGGGCTGGTGGCTTTTGTGATATTGTTGGGAACCGCCAGGCCAGTCGACTACTTACCCATAGCAGCTTTTTCAGGCAACTCCTTGTACTCGTCCTCCCCAAGCTCCTCCCCGCCTTCCTCTTGCAATGTGCTACAAAGGTTCCAGCCCACCCTCTCTGGTCCACGAGGGCCCCGGGGCTTTGCCAGACCTGCTCGCTCGCTCGCTTCCTCCTCGCGCTGCTCGCGAGATCCTTGTCCGTCCTCGTCTCCTGGCCCCAGGGCGCCCCCCTCCAGCGAGCGAGGAGGGGAAGGGCGGCGGCAGGACGCATCCCCGCGACTGCCCCTCCATCTCCCTGGGCTGCGTGTGGGACGGGAAGATCAGGCGCCGGCCGGGCTTTTGCGCTGGGGGGTCGGCAGCGGCACGCCGCCGCCACGGCCATGGCCAGGCCCACCTCGGGAGCCCGGTCCCCGTGCGCGCACCCTCCTGTCCTTGGCAGGGGCGGTGCAGTGCCCCGTGGTGGGCCTGGCCACAGCCAGTGGCAGCGTGCAGCTCCCGATCTCCGCGCTGCGCTCGGCGGCGGGCGCGGCAGGAAGCAGGATCGAGGAAGAAAAGGTGCCATGAACATAAACTCTTGGCGCTCCGCGCAGATTTCGTGGATCCGCGCTGAGGCCCCCCTGGCGGCGCCTCCGGCGCCGCCCCTGGCGCGCTCCGCGCGCCAGGAAGGGGGGTCCGGCGCGGCTCCAAGAAATCCGCGCGGAGCGTCAAAAGTTTCTGTTGATGCAGTTTTTTTTTTTTCTAGGGGAGCATCTGCTCCAGGAGTGGCGTTCTCCCTGCCTGCCGCCCGCTGCGCTTCCGGGGTCTGCCCGCATCGGTCCGCCCCAGGATCCGTCCTCCTCGTTCGGTCTCCGGAGCGCCCCCGAGGCCATGGAGGCGGGCGTGCCCGTGTCGTGCATATATGCTGTCGCTGTGAAGGGTGAGGGGAGGAGGGTGGGCTAACCCGAGTAAGCGATTAAGGACCCCCCCCCCCTCTCCGGTGAAAGGATAACGCATCCGGCACCCGGAAGCGTTATCCTGGCACCAGGAGGGGGTACACCAGCCTTTCCTTAGCTTTCCTCAGCTTTTCTCAGCTTTTTCTTAGCTTTTCTAAGCTTTTCCTTAGCTTTTCTCAGCTTTTCCTTATTCGTATTCGTATTCTTATTATCATTACAATTCTAATTGGGATGCCACCCGAGGCGGGGCGCTGGAATTATGTATTTTCCTTCCATTTGCGCGGTGCTAATAATATCGCTCGGCGAAAACCCCCCAAATAATTATTTAATTACGGCGCGGTGCTAATGATAACGCCGGGGGGGTCCTTAATTGCTTCTCCGGGCTATGCGGAATCTCTTGGAGGCCTCGCCACGGCGCGCAATATCTGGATTCTCCAGTCCACACGCCCTTCCCGGGACGACGTTCGCGCGGCGGTGCTGCGACATGACTCCGGCGTTTACCCGATGTAGATCCGACGTGATTCCGACACGGATCCAACGTACCTTGGGGCTCAAGTTGCCGCGCGACGGATCCAGGACTTTCCTCATTCGGCCGCGAGCGAGGGGGGAAATGAGAAGGAGAAGGCCTTCTCAGAAGGCGTCGGGACTTCTCAGTAGCCCTCGCGCCTTCTGAGAAGTTGTGTGTGTGTCTTCAGGGAAGTCAGAAGGCCGGCGGACTTCCAAACCTTCTGAGAAGGCATAATCCTTCCCACTTCCCCCCCTCGCTCGCCCGCCGACGTAGGGGGTTATTATTCTTACTATTGGTATTATTATGATTATTTGTATTAGTATTCGCATTCGCATTCGTATTCGTATTCGCATTCGTATTCGTATTATTCTTCCTATTATTTTTCTTCTCCTTCTTCTTCTTTGGGGGTGGCACTGTCCGGGACGGGGATGAGACAAGAGGGCGGGGCCCGCGGCGTAATAACAGGGCGGTGCGGGGCGAGGCAGGCTGGCGGTTTTCTGACGAGGGTGGCTTTCAGTAATCGGTGGGGGCGTTGGTTAAGGAACGCGCAGGAGAGGCTTCAGACCCTGGATCGAGGACGGACGAACACGCGCGGATTTCTTGGATCCGTGCTGGGCCCCACTGGCGGCGCCTCCGGCGCCGCCCCTGGCGCGCTCCGCGCGCCAGGGAGGAGGTCCAGCGCGGATCCAAGAATTCCGCGCGGAGACCCAAGTGTAAGTTTATGGCGTTGTTTCTTCTTCTGCTGAATGGTTCCTTCTCTGATGAGGGTGGCGGTGATATCCATGGCCAACCCACGATTGCAGTTCACTGGCGTCCAGACCCCAGACTCCTCATCCAGTGCTTCCTTATCCAATGCCCCCCCACAGTAAAGGGAGCCTCCTGGGCCTCCCAGATCGGGTCCGAGCAGATAGGGCCGGAGGCTTGCGCCGCATCGCCGATACATCGGCGATGCGGCTCGATGTTGAGCCTGATCTTCTCCACGCCCACGGCGCCGATACATCGCCCACGTCGCCGATGCATGGCCAATGCATGGGAACGAGGGAGGGGCTCGCGAAGAGCAGAGATGGTACGCCAGGTTCGTGCCGCCTCGACGCGGCGGCGAGGCCGGCCTGGGCATTCAAGACTCTGGGGGCTCGCTTCGGGACCCAGGGCCCACAATACAACCGAGGGCACGAAATCCATGCTAAAGATGGGTCCACAGCCTCTGGGCATCTGCTGTCGAGAAAGAGACCGGTCACGTGGTGTCAGAAAAGCCAGAGCCCACTTCGTCAAGGCAGGAAGTCTGTGTAACAGAGTCTGCCCGCTGGGAGCTTCCGTCAGGGGGGGGAGGGCACAGGGAGCATCAGGTGAAACGCGTCGGCCTGGGGGAGCCACTCCAGGGAGTGCATTCCCTTCGTTTTTTCTCCTCCCCTCCAGGCTGGGTAACGCCCCAGTGAGGTCCTGGTGGCCAGAAGCCTCTAAGATTGGGGGAGGGATTCGCGGTAAGGAAACTTGTATTGGAGCCGAGTCTTGCGAGAGGACGTGTCTGCAAGTGGTCGCCCTCGGCGAGGTGACACGCTGTGCACGCGTGCTCCGAGCTCTCCCGGAGACGATCCCAAGATGATCCCATGGCGACAAAATGGTTTCAAGAGGGCTCAGACCACAGACGATGACCTCCAGGTGACCCTGGGATGACGCCGCCCCAGCATGACCCCAACAGGGCTTCGGGACCGTCTCGGGCGTACTCTAAGATGGCACAACCTACGAGCAACGAGTGACCCCGAGATGGCACGATGGCCGCCAGATGAATGCAGGCGCGGCCGAGGTGGCTCCAAAATGACCCGATGACGCCCGCGTGATCCAACAATGAGCCAGATATAATCTCAAAATGACCTCAAGACGACCCGCATACGGCAAGGAGGCTGCAAAATGTCAGTCCCATCGCACGTCGGGCCGATTCCAGGCTAGCGGGGACTGGGAAAGAGACGGGATCTCTTGGCGTATCCCACTTCCAACTGGTTGGATCTTGAATCGCATGAGCTAGATGAAGACAGGCGGGATCCCGCCCAGCCCGCGCAAGGTTGCCTCGCTAGTCTTCTAGGGGGTACAGTCATACTGCATAGTAAGGATCGGCATCCTTCCCACGAGTACCCTTGCATCTTTGCCTCATCGGTCCATCCTTGGTCACGTTCGTTGGCCGCGCCCCGCTCGAGAAGCTTCGAAATGGGCGTCCAAGGCCCTTGCATCCTTATCGCGCATCCTTCTGATACGGGCCGACTGTACCTTGAAGTTCCTGATGCCCGCCTGAGGCAGGCAAGGGGCTCAGCGCGGTCACGTAGAACTTCAACCGGTTTGGCCTCTCGCGGGCCCCCTTTCGGATATTTTAGGGCCACATTCGCATGGGGGTCTTCTTGGAAGCAATGTTCTGCCAATGGTGCCATCTTGCGTCATCGTGGAGGCCGCATGAGCTATGCTGGGCCTATCTTGCGCGTCCGAGAGCCAGTCTGGAGCTACGCTTGGCCACCACAGTATGGCTATGCTGGCAGATCTTGGGGGCATCTCATTCGTAGGCCCAACCGCTCACCCCTCAAAAGCGATGAGGGCGGATGAGGAGGAGGAGGAGCAGGAGCAGGAGCAGGAGCAAGAGCAGTAGCAGGAGGAGGAGGAGAAGGAGGAAGAGGGGGAAGAGGAGGACCAGTGTAAAACCAAGAGTCATCAACGATGTTGGAATTAACCCTCCCTCCAAGCTCCCTCTTCATAGGCCCCCACAACGGTTCATTTCCATTGAGGGAACTGCCCCGTTGGGAGACAACCGATTGAAGATCCTTAAGCATGCCCAAAAATTGTTCTCGGGCTTTCGACGCCACGTATCAACCTGACTACTGCGTCTTGACGATTCAGAATAGTGCCAAAGCGCCACTTGTGGGACTCCAACACCGCGAATCAACATAACGTTTGCACCCGCATAATCCTGAACCCTTCCAAAACACCATGTTTGGTACGTCGATCATGGGAACGCGTGAAACTCTTGCCAACGTTTCAGAAGAATATGCGCGGCGTTAGGGCGACAGCCACATCTTGAAAACGGCCCGCCCTCAATCCGTGAAGCTCGAGCAAATGTTTCAAGCGAATGTGTGCGGCGCTGAGGCGAGAGCCACATGCTGAAAAAGAACCGCCTTCAATCCGTGAAGCTCTTGCAAATGCTTACAAAGAAGGTGCGCGGCGCTGAGGCGATAGCCACATCTTGAAAATGAGCCGCCTCAATCCGTGAAACTCTTGTAAAGTTTTAAGCTGGATGTGCGCGTCGCTCAAGCGAGAACCACATCTTGATAACCATCCGCCCTCAACCCGTGAAACTTTTACAAATGTTTAGAACGAATGTGCGCGGCGCTAAGGCGAGAGCCACATTTTGAAAGCCACCCGCCCTCAATCCGTGAAGCTCTTGCAAATGTTTGAAACGAATGTGCGCGTCGCTAAGGCGAGAGCCACATCTTGAAAACCACCCGCCCTCAATCCGTGAAGCTCTTGCAAATGTTTACAGCGAATGTGCGCGTCGCTAAGGCGAAAGCCACATTTTGAGAACCACCCGCCCTCCATCTGTGAAGCTGTTCTTACTTCTTAAGCTTCAGAGTCATAAGTGGTGAGGAAGTCTCAGGCGAAACACCCGGCCCGCCCTGAAAAGCGGTCTCGGGGTGCGACAGGGAGGAGTTGTTTATAAGGAGAAGGAGAAGGAATGGAGGAGGAGGAGGAGGAGGAAAAGGAGGAGGAGGAGGAAGACGAGGAGCAGGCGGAGGAGGAGGAGCGGGCGGGAGGGGAACAGCCAGACGTCTCGCGCGCCGCTTCCCCCCTGGAAGCGGCTGTCGGCCAGTTCCTGATGCTTTTCCACGCGTAGCTTTCTCTTCCTTCTTCTCCTATCTCCCCTCCCCCCTCCTCAGCTCACCCTCTCCTGCAATACGGTGGGGGGCGTTCGTTGTGAAGTGTGCCCAGGAGGCTTCAAGCCCAGGGTGGCTCCTTGTCTGATAAGGGCGGCAGCGACATTCATGATCACGCCTCAGTTGATGTTCAACCGGCTTCCAGAACCAAGATCCCGCATGTATCCAATGGTTTCGTATCGAATGCCCTCACTGCTCAGGATCCGATCCCTCGTCTCCTTCCGCAGACTGAAATACAAATCCCAGCGTGTTGTCCCGCGCCGCACGCGAGCATCCCGACTACGACCTCTATGCATGGGTTGACGTTGGCATGCACGCCTCGGGCACTTCCAGGGACGTCTTCAGAAGCCACGACAGAAAGCCGTGGCCGCATCCGAAGAAGCTTGCGATGCTGCCGCTGGACAAGATTTCCATTAGCCACTCCGACGTCAACTGCAAACAGGCAGCAGTGCTTTTCTTTGACGCGGACCCGTGGGATAGTTGAAATTGTGCCACTATCCGACGCAGCAGGTGATAGCACATCTTATGTGCTAGAAGCTGGCGAGCGATCCGCGGAAGCAAGAAGGACTGACGAGGGCGTGCATCACTTTGTTGCTCCGCTGGAAGTTGGGTGGATGCTCGGCGGAGTCGGTCGCCCTTGAGATTTTCAGGTTCGGTGGCGTTTAAATAATTCGGCTGGTCAGATGAGAGCAGGGCCTGCCAGTTGGTGTTCCACCGGAAATGTCAGCGCCTCGGTTGCACCAAGGATCCACGTGAATTCTCGGGCACCTCGCGACGAGCGAGATCGGCGAGAACTGCTCCATTGAATCTCTCATCGCAGGATTCCTTGTGGTGCGTATCTGGCGTGCCCCTCTCATCCCCTTGTGAGAATGGTCGGCTGCCTTTGTCTCACTTCTGGGGCCTCTGGCCTCAGGTCGAGCAGCACGGCGGTCGATTGCAAGATCATGCTGGCGTCATATCTGCCTGGACCAGCTGCCGCACGGGTCCTCACGTTGTGCAGCGATAGGTTCGTTTTTGGCTCCGCCGCGGCTCCGGGCAGCTCTTCCCTCGACTCCCCACGGACGCGTTTGCGACCCAGCGCGGGGCCAGTGGACACAGAGCTTGGGGCGACGTTGGCGTGCTGACCTCCCGGGGCCTCCCATCCCCATGCTGACAATTGGCGCCGAGGGGTGACGACCTCGCTCCATGACTCTCGGCGGGGGCCAGCGTAGTTACGCCTCCACGTGTTGTGCGCCCCTGCGTATATCTATAGCCCACCCAGATGTACCTGGCACCTTTTGCTCTCTGGCATTGCTGATGCAGTCCATGTGCTGCCAGGGCGGAGAATCGCGCCGCGTGTATTGTGTCCGAGCGCATGTCCAGGCGAGTGTGCGCGTGTCGGCCTGTGCGTGCTTGCGGAGGCGTGCGGGCAAGTATTCGGTTGAGTTGATGCTTGTTTGCACGCGCGTCAATGCAATCTTGTGCGTTCATGTGTGTTGTGTGCTACGCCTGGGAGCGTGTGCTGCGTGCGTGCATTCGTTTGCCCGCCAGGGGCATGTGTTCCCACCCTCGGCTTCCGGCTCATGAAAGGAACAGCTATATGTTGAGAATGCTAGCCCCTGAGGCAGCTTGTCTCGTAGCGAGGCATGATCCTCGAGTCTCGGTTCCTCTTCCTCCTCTTCTTCCTCCTTCCTCCTCTTTTGATGGAGATCAGTTTGTAAGTCCACTGTCAGCAAGGATTCGGGCATGGCGTCCCAGAGTAAGGAAGTGACGGTAGTGCCCTCCAGTGAAGAGGCACTCGGATTGTACCCGTTGCCTTTTTCCCGAAGTCTTGCCAGCAGAACAGGCGATTGCAAAGAAGGCTACGAGCATTGGAATGAGCCCTTCTCGTTCTGGCACTGCGCTGCGGCCACCGCGTTCGTCGTCCCTCGCAGCCTCGTTTCAACGCTTGAGAAGTTGTTCTACAGGAAGCTCCAGGATCCGCCGTCTGTCGTGAAGTGTCCCCGCCGTCTCTGGCAGGAGGGTAGGAGGTTGGCATCTTCATCGCTCGTGGCGGAGGGGCATGATGTCCTTGCAGTGCAAAACGAATGTATTTCGACCCAGATGATGTAGCTAGCATTTCTTGCGTCGTACCAGTTGGGCATCGAGCACCAAGCCAACATGCGTTGCTGCGATAGCAGAGTTCATGGGCCCCTGCTTCCAGTGAAAATGACAACGGGAATGTATGAAGGACTGCGTGCGCGAGCAGTTACTAATTCATAGTGGTGTTCATGTTACGTGCGGGCCCTAGCTGCACTCCTGAGCAAAGTTTTCAAGGCAGAAGGGTGAGCCTACTTGGACTTTTCAGCAGCACATATCCGCTTAGAAGGAAGAACGCTCGCAACCTTTATTGGTCCCATACTGAACAGGTAAAACCTGGACTGGACATCGTGTACCGTGTTGGCTTGGCAAGGGACGTGGCGAGAGTGCCATTCCGACCTGAGAGCGTGCCGGTGCCGAGGTTTCTGCAGCCTTGTCACACGAGAATGTAGTCAGCGCTGAGGCGAGAGCCCTTAGCGGCTGCGGCGCTACGTCTCGAGGTGCAGTTCCAAGGGCCCGTCCGAATCCTTGATTTTAACTGGCGTCGACGCGAATTTGCCACTCCCGACCAAGATTGAGGCTTGCGCCCAGGCGAGGCAACCACTCCGAAATCAGAGTGTGACCGGCGTTCAGGTGAGAACGCCGTCGACACCTAATTACGAAGGCGGCCAGCGCCGAGGCGAGAGCATCAGTGCAACTCAGCGATGCGCCCTGCGCGTAGTTCTATCTCCAAACGGCCAGGGCGTTGTTTTCCCCAGTGTTCGGTCGTCGTGCCTGGAAACTTGACAGCAGAAACAGAAGAGTCTCGAGCAACAAAAGAAAGCCAGCGCGGCCCGGGAGCGGAAGCAGGAAAAGGAACGGCAATTGAAAACGGTTGCTTTGGATGGGGGGGGGGACGATCTCCTTCTGATCGGGGGGGGCTGAACGTGCCCCTGGCCCAAGGTTCCCCAGCTTTTCGCTCAATTTTGGAGTCCCTGGGGTCCTCTGGGCCTCGTGGGGGGTGCTCTGGAGCCCGTGGGGGCCTCCTTGGAAATCCAGGGGGCACCCTGGGCCAGGGATGTTTCTAGCAACGCCTGATCCGTCTGAGGAAGCTGAGCACGTATGTGATACGACTTGGCGGCGAAAGGCGAGCGGTGCGGGCGGGCGAGGGAGCAAACGGAGAGTGCGCAAGTGATCAGCATTGCGCGGCCAACGGCAAACAACGCTGAACCAAAACGGTTGACGAATTGCCACAACACGGAAATAGCATGGAGCCGGAAATGTCGGCGCGCCGTTTGTTCCGACGCGCGGCCTTGCGTCTTGGGGAGGGCAGTTCGGCGACCAGCGCAAACGCCGGCTCGGACGCAATGGGTTCGCCCTGGGTTTGCCGAATTGTTGGCGTCGGGTACTGGGGCGACGGGCGCAGGGCTTGTTGCGGTTTTGCCGTGGTGTCGGCGCCGTCCGTTTGGGCGCGTCGAGGACAAACGGCGCGGCTACACATGGAACCGAAGATGCTAACCAACAAAAGCCCCAGACAGTGTGCTCTAGCGTACGGCGGAGCGCAACCTATGCGCGCAATTCATCTTACCGAACATATAGTTGTCAACTCCACTGCTTGCGCAATAATCCCACCCACCCGCGCGTAATTTGGTTTGCAGCGCCCATGCTGCGGCGATTGCGCTGACTGCTTGGCGCTGGCTGGCGCATCGCTGCGGTCGCTCGCAGAGCGGCCAGCTAGTCTGGCGCGACCGACGCGGCCGCGGTGGCGCTGACCGCTGGGGATTCCCCAGCGCGTCTTCCATGCCGCGCTGACGCGCGGGCGCTACAGGGCGAGTCGGTGACCTAGGCCGGCGCGGTGTCATGGTGCCGTCGACAACGGCAGACACGATGACGATATTAGCAATGCAGGTGACGATGGTGACAATGACGACGGCAAGGCCAACTACGTCGCCGATGTGGATCACGCCGATGGCGATGATGGTGTTCACTTACCGGCGATGAAGGTTTTGGAAAGATTTGGACATGCGCGCGCGGCCGACGGGTGCAAATGGCTCGCATTGTATTATTTGACAGGGATCGCGCCTCCCGCCCCCCCCAGCACGCGCGCAAGGGCGTTCGAATAATTTCGACACCCGCGCGGGAGAGGCCCGCTTTGTCGCATTTGATCGAACGGTTGAAACGCCGATGGGTCCGTGAGAATGTGCAAGAGCGCGCGCGTAGACTTTTTGGACACATCATGTTGCAAAGCCACTGGTTTATTATATGTCTTCGGGAAGTTTGAGGTGGCCAGGCCCGGGCCCGCCCTGGAACAGGCCACGACAGGCTAAGGAAGTCCCGAGAGGGCCCAAGACGCTCCCAAGAGGCCCCGAAGACGCCCAAGATGCCCTCGAGACGGCCGACGAGGACTCCAACACGCTCCAGGACGGACTCAAGAGGCTCCCCAAGAGGGCCCTGGGAGGCTGAATTCATTCACTTCCCGAAGGATTTTGAAGGATTTTGGCGTTCTCGCTTTCCCCGCTGCCCAGCGCTCCCTCACGGCCGCGGAGGCCCTTCAGATCGCTCCGAGACGGCCCACGAGGCCCCGAAGAGGGCCCCAAAACGGCCCAGGAGGAGACTCCCGAGACAACCCAAGAGTGCCCCAAGAGTGCCCCAAGAGCTCCTCAAGAGGGGGCCCGCCCCGAAGCAGGCCACGACAGGCTAGGGCGTCCCGAGAGGGCCCAAGACGCTCCCAAGAGGCTTCGAAGACGCCCAAGCTGCCCTCAAGACGGCCGACGAGGACTCCAACACGCTTCAGGACGGACTCAAGAGGCTCCCCAAGAGGGCCCTGGGAGGCAAAAATCATTCTACTATGGTTTTGGGGGGATTTTGGTGTTCTCGCTTTCCCCGCTTCCCAGCGCCCCCGACGGCCGCGGAGGCCCTTCAGATCGCTCCGAGACGGCCTACGAGGCCCCGGAGAAGGCCCCAAAACGGCCCAGGGGGAGGCTCCCGAGACTACCCAAGAGTGCCCCAAGAGCTCCCCAAGAGGGGGCCCAGAGGGGGACCGCCAACCGATATTTCAAGGTCTCTGGCCCTGGAGGCTCCCAGTAGGCCCCCAGAGGCCACCAAGAGGCTCCCACGAAGGCCCGTGAGGCGCCCAAGAGGCCCCCCAGGAAGCCCCAAGAGAACCCCAAGGGGCCCCCCCAGGGAACGCCCAAGAGGCCCCCCAACACACCCCAAGAGATCATGTCCCCAGAAAGCCTTCCAGGGACAAGGTTCATCATGGGCCCGAGAGTCTCCAGAGGCTCCGAGGTACAATGGCGCTACTGGAGAGTTGTCTGGGAACTTGACTGGGAAGATGACTGATCACCTTCTCGCGGCCCTCCGCGGATCGGTTCGCACAAAGTTGCCCCAAGTGCCCTCTTGAACAGACGACGAAGACGACGACGAAGCGATGAAGACGAGGAGGAGGAGGAGGAGGACGACGACGACGACGACGACGACGGCGCGCCCCAAGAGGCGACGACGACATTACGACGACGACGACGACGACGACGACGACGACGACGACGACGACGACGACGACGACGACGACGGCACGCCCCAACAGGTTCCCCAAGACGCCCCCAAATCCGCCCAGAAGGCCTTCTGGGAACACGACTCATCAGGCCTCCGCCCCCCCACGCAACCATCTCCCCCAAAAGCCTTCCGGAATGCGGATTGGCATGCATGGACTTCTCATTGTCCATAATGCGTTCAGCGTCATTGGTACTTCTTCATTTCCCGTTCAAGCCATTGGTGGTCCACCACCTCAGTGGAGCAGTGAACTCGTCAAGGCCTGCAGCCTGCTAAAACCTGAGCGCGCGCGATGGGTTGTAGTATATATACATATCGGTGGTTGGGGGGGTGTGAACGGAAGCCGCCCCAACCGGGAAATCGGTTTCGGTTTCGGTTCGTGTCGTGCGTGCGGGCGAGGCGAAGCTGCGCGAGTTCCTGCAGTTGTAGAGGCCACATTGAGCCCAAAGGTCGCCCCCCCCCCCGACCCCCCCCCAGCCAGGCGCGGCCCCCGATGGTTGTCCAGACGGTTGTCCGGATGGTTGTCCCGATGGTTTTCCCGATGGGTGTCCCGATGGTGTTGTCCCGAAAGTGTTGTCCCGACGGTTGTCCCGATGGTTCTCCCGATAGTTGTCCCGATGGTGTTGTCCCGAAAGTGTTGTCCCGATGGTTGTCCCGATGGTTGTCCCGATGGTTGTCCCGATGGCTGTCCCAATGGGTGCCCCGATGGGCGTCCCGATGGGCGTCCCGACGGTTGTCCAGACGGTTGTCTGGATGGTTGTCCCGATGGTTGTCCCGATGGTTGTCCCGATGGTTGTCCCGAAGGCTGTCCCAATGGGTGCCCCGATGGGCGTCCCGATGGGCGTCCCGACGGTTGTCCAGACGGTTGTCTGGAAGGTTGTCCCGATGGTTTTCCCGATGGGTGTCCCGATTGGTGTCCCGGTGGTTGTCCCGACGGTTGTCCCGATGGTTCTCCCGATGGTTGTCCCGATGGTGTTGTCCCGAAACTGTTGTCCCGATGGTTGTCCCGATGGTTGTCCCGATGGTTGTCCCGATGGCTGTCCCAATGGGTGCCCCGATGGGCGTCCCGATGGGCGTCCCGACGGTTGTCCAGACGGTTGTCTGGATGGTTGTCCCGATGGTTGTCCCGATGGGTGTCCCGATGGGTGTCCCGGTGGTTGTCCCAACGGTTGTCCCGATGGTTCTCCCGATGGTTGTCCCGATGGTGTTGTCCCGAAAGTGTTGTCCCGATGGTTGTCCCGTTGTCCCGATGGTGTTCCGATGTTTGTCCCGATGGGTTGCCCGATGGGCGTCCCGACGGTTGTCCAGACGGTTGTCTGGATGGTTGTCCCGATGGTTTTCCCGATGGGTGTCCCGATGGGTGTCCCGGTGG